GTGAAATCTGCAGGGTGTTCTCAGTGGCTGTGCTGGCCATTGGTTTCTTCAGTGATGGAAGCTGCTGAGGTCATCTGTGGAGCAGGTCACAGGGAACCATAGTGACTCAGGCTCTGTGGCTGATATTGGTAGCACCTGTGCTTCTTCCTTTTTCCTAGCTGTATTTATAGGTGTCAGGTTTACCTGTCTCTGGGTGGGGTGAAACCTAAGTAGATTCTTTATAGAGTGGAGGAAAGGCTGGGTGAGCTGGTTGCTGACCCTACTCTTTTTTTTTTTCTTTTTTTCTTTTTTACCGGCCAGGGGAACTCTTTCTAGCTGGGGAGTTGCCATTTGGTGCTAAGTAATGCTGGCTTGGGGAATAGGATAGTGCAGGCACAAAGAAGGTTTTCTTCCTTTCATTTCTATGCAGTTATTCTTAAGTTTCTTATTTCAGCATGTGGCTGCAGTTTTTAAGTAGAATCTGGAGCCCTACCTGAGTTGTTTTCATTCATGGACAGCTGTTTAGTGGTTGGTCTTTGTGGAGAGATGGAAGCTTGGGTCTCCTACTCTGCCATTTTGGTGATGTCCTTAAACTCTTGTCCATATGCTCTGGGATACATGTACAAGCATTTTCATACCAAGTTTTTGGTTTTTTTTTTTTTTTTTTTTTTTTTGTAATAGCCCCAAAATTGAAGATTCCAAATATTTGTAGAGTGGAGTAGATAAACAAATTGTGTCCTGTTCATGCAATGGAAAATCATACCCTAATGAAAATGAAATGGCTACTCATAACACCATTAATTTTTCAAATGTAATATTGATTGAAAGAAGCAAGTCATAAATACAGGGGGTATTTTCATTTGTAAAAAACTCAAAGCTGGGAAAATTTAAACTATGTTGATTAAGGATATTAACAAAGATGGAAAAGATATAAAGATGAGGAAAAAATGGGATAATAGGCTGAAGGAAAGGGTTGTGAATGGGGAGGGACACATAAAGAGCTTCTGGGATATTGGCAATCCCAGGCACCCAGTTGTTGACCTTGAGTGGTGGTTGTGTGGATACTTGCTTTGTAATTATTCATTAAACGGTAAATATATTTTTATGTATGACTCGGTGAATATGCCAAAGTTCATGATTATAAAATATAAAATAAAACTAAGGGGGTTAATTTATCTTGAGACTTTTAAAGAATGAAGTAAAGCCCAGAAACTATAAAAGAAAAAATCAATAGATTTGACTAAGTATAAAAATTCTGTACATTTGAAATAATCCATAAATATTAGTAAGTAAATAATTAATAGCAGATGAGAAGATATTTGTTACACATTATATAGTAGTATTAATTGGCCCCTACAAATGAATAATAAAAAGTCAAACAATTCAGGAGAAAAATGAACAGACATATGAACAGGCATTTCACAGAAGCAGAAATAAAAATGTCCAAAAACAAATGAAATGAAGCTTGAGTTGATTAGGGATCATGGAGATGAAAATTAAAATTATGGGAAAAAATATTTTATTTATAAGACAGTATTGAAGTTAAACATTAATAACAACTAATATTGGTGACCATATGGAGAAAAACTCTGTCATACTTCATTGGTTTGAATGAAAATAGTTCTCAAATTTATGGAACTCACTGTAGTATTATCTATAAAAATAGAAATGTGCATACCTTAACAATGAACACTTTTATTTTTAGGAATTTGTCTCAACAGAGATACTGGCATGATGTATTAGCAGTTTTAATGGACATATAGTATTCTATTTTATGGTTATGTCATAATTTATAATTCTCCCAGAGATGCTCATATAGATAATTTTTATATTTCTGTTTCTACAAGCAGTAATACTCTTAGTATATTTGTATAAGCAAAACCATGGAAACAACATGCATTTTAGGACTGACTAAATGAATTATGGTCAATTCATAGCAATGGAATGTTGTGTAGCTTTTAAAAAGAATAACTTTACATAAACTGCTTAGAAACATTTTCCTTGACATTTAAGGGGATAAAGCAAGATAAAAGCATTTTATATACATTTTTGTCCCATTTTTATAATCCATCTATGTGCATGAATCCTACATGTTAGCTGTTTCTCAGACCTCTTCCAAAGAAGGAAAAGAAAACCTGTCAACTGATAAGTAATATGCATTAATTATTAATAATTTGTATCAATTAATAAAATACTGCAGCTTCTATAAAAGAGATAAAAGAGGTCCACATTCCCCCACAATATGCAGCTAAATCTCCCTTTCCCATTTTAGCTACTTCAATATTACTTCATAGGCCACTTTGGTAACCAGGGGTACTCTTCTCTGGAAGAGGATCTTCACCAGAACATTTCAGTAAGAATAAGAAATGAGGGCACCTGGTTGGCTCAGTCAGTAGCATGTGACTCTTGATTTCAGGGTTGTGAGTTTGAGCCCTACATTGGGTGTAGAGATTACTTAAAAATAAAAAAATCTTAAAAAATGAAAGGGGGGAAATTGGAGGGGGAGACGAACCATGAGAGACTACAGACTCTGAGAAACAAACTGAGGGTTCTAGAGGGGAGGAGGGTGGGGGGATGGGTTAGCCTGGTGATGGGTATTAAAGAGGGCACGTACTGCATGGAGCACTGGGTATTACACGCAAACAATGAACCATGGAACACTACATCAAAAACTAATGAGGTAATGTATGGTGATTAACACAACATAATAAAAGAAAAAAAATAAATGGGTTTCCTGATCTCTTTTATTTTTTGGTTTTCAAATTATTCATAATGAGAATTTGAGGAAGAACAATTGGTTGATTCCTCAAACTATTCCACCTGGTAATGGAAGTATAATGTTTCCATCTATACATTCTATGATACTGAGTTGAAATTCCTAAATTAGTGGCATCACAGATGGAGGCCTGTGTTAGTCAGTTTAGGCTGCTATAACAAAATACCACAGATTGGGTGACATACACAACAGAAATTTATTTCTAATGATTCTGAAGGCTGATCAGTCTGAGATCAGGGTTCCAGCATGGTCAGTTCTTCTGAGAGCCTTCTTCCTGGTTTGCAGATTATCCTCAAATGATGGAAAATAGAGAAAGGAAGTAGTCTCTCTCCTGTCTCTTGTATCTCATGTGCCTAATGATTTAATTACCTCTCAAGGGCCCCATCTCCAAGTACCATCATACTGGAGATTAGGGTTTCAACAGATGAATATTGGTCCATAGCAGGGCCTTTTCTCCCTTCTGTGAACTGTACTTTCAAATTGTGACAGAAATACAGTTGATGTTCTTTGTAATCCTTTACCAAATCCAGGGCATAATTTTAAATGATGCCGTATGCTATTATCAAATTAATCTTAATTTGATATGGTATAATATTTTTTATTTATTTATTTATTTATTTATTTATTATTTATAAGACTAATTATTTGAGAGAGAGTGTGAACGAGGGGTGGGAGGGCAGAGGGAGAGGGAGAAACAGACTTCCCCTTGAGCAGGGACCCTGATGCAAGGGCTTGATCCCAGGATCCCAAGATCATGACCTGAGCTGAAGGCAGACACTTAACTGACTGAACCACCCAGGTGCCTCATATTTTATGCATTTTAAGTATTCTCTCTTGCCTATAAAAAATTCTAAATTTGATTTTTCTAAAGATGACTCCTTTTAATACACATTTTGAATGTTTAAGGAGTATTCACTCTCCTAAAGCGAAGCCTCTAGTTTATTTCGTTTCTTTATATACTTATTTTATTTTTAAAAGATTTTATTTATTAATTTAAGAGAGAGAGAGAGAAAGCATGAGTGAGGGGAGGGGGCAGAGGGAGAGAGAGAATCTCAAGCAGACTCCCTGCTGCCCAGGGAGCCCAACTTGGGGCTTGATCTCATGAACCATGAAATCATGTTTACTTATTTGGTTTCCTTGATATATGTTGCACATTTCTACTTTTCCTATCTTTATGATTTTGCTGTTTTTTTCTAATAAAACTCTATCCATTCTTTAAGGCTCAGCTGATTTCTATCCTCTTCCTTTCTCTTCTCAGTGCCTAAACATTTATCATATTTCTCTATATCACTATTTTGACATGTGGAATAGAAAAAAATATAATTGATATTTAGGAACTGTGGACTACTTCCATGTTATTTAACATTATCTTTGTACATTTCATGTTTGGTTTATCTAGCATCAAACTTAATGAAGTTTGTCTTCTGTCATATACTTTTTGTGTTACAAGATTGAAGAATCTTGTGTTATTACCCTGAGACTTCATTGATTACAATGGATTCTCATTATGTTGTTTTCCTTTTTTTTTTTTTTTAAGATTTTATTTATTTATTTGCCAGAGAGAGAGAGAGAGAGAGAGAGAGAGCACAAGCAGTGGGGAGTGGTAGGAAGAGGGAGAAGCAGGCTCCCTGCTGAGCAAGGAGCCCAATGCAGGACTCGATCCCAGGATCCTGGGATCATGACCTGAGCTGAAGGCAGTCGCTTAACCAACTGAGCCACCCAGGCACCCCTATGTTGCTTTCCTTTTAAGTAGCATTTTAGTTAACCTTTTGGTTATTTGATTCAGGTGGAAAACTTAATTGATTGTTGGATCTTCATGTAGACTTTAATGACTTAGCAGCAGCAACCAAAGCAGTTTTCTCTTAGCATCTTAGAGTCCTCTTATATGCAATGTTATAAGGAGGTGCCACATACTGACATCAATCCAGTTTTGTCACTTACTAGATGCATAGTTTTGATCAAGTTATAGAACCTTTCTAAGACTCAATTTATTTATTTGAAAATGGTGACAATATCTTTTTTTTGGGTTATTTTGAGGATTAAGAGAATGGTAAAGTAGCATAGTGACATAACGGGACTTTAATAAAATGGTAACTATATTTATCATAAGCATTTGTTCCTTGAGTACTGTCTCCTCGTTATGTTCACTAGTTCTCACACATACAGCAGTGAGTTATATCAGCATAGAGGTATAGTTTTAGCCATTTGTAATACCTTTACATTTTTTCCTTTTTCTTCATGATAGAAACTGCTTACTCCCTGAGGAAGAGATTAGATGTCATGTTGAAAATATTTGAAAAACAGTCAAATATGTTGGAGAGGTAAGCTTTTAAAATAACTCCTTTTCTTAATTATGAAAATGAGTAGACATGTATTTTAGAAAAATTGGAAACATAAATAAGACCACTGTTAAAAAACTTTAGTGTTCTTATGTCAATTTTTGTGATATTGTAATTTTAAAATTATAATCATGCAGAATATAAAATTGTATAGCCACAATGGAAAACAGTATGTCAGTTTCTCAGAAAATTAAAAATGTAATTACCATATGATCCAGTAATTTCATTTCTGGTTAGATACCCTGCAAAATTGAAATCAGGGTCTCAAAGACACTCATGTTTACTGTAGCCTTATTTGCAATAGCAAAGGGTGGAAGCAACCCAAGTGTCCAAAAACAGATAAATAGATAAAGAAAATGTGATACATACATACAATGGAATATTATTTAGTATTAAAAAGGAAGGAAATTCTGACATATGGTACAACATGAATGAACCTTGAAGATATTATGCTAAGTAAAATAAGGCAGTCACAAGAAGACAAAGTTATATGATTTCATTTATATGAGGTACCTAGAATAGTCACTGTGAATTACCCACAGTTCTTTCAGGTGACTAAGATTAAATTAGTAAAAAACTTGCACGTTGAAAAAGCATGTCTTGTAGAATGAAATCACAAATCAACTTTTATTTGGACACTTTTGGTTCATTTATATTTGCTAATTGAAGCTTATTTTCCCCCTGCTCCTGGATAAAAACTAGGGTAAATCATGACTTTTTTGATTACTCTCAGATAATAATTAATTTAAATTTAATTTAGAAGCACTGTCCTAATTGGGAAATTAAAATTCCTTGTCAAATATTACAGTCAATATTTTAATTTTTATTCTAAGTTAAAATGTCCTTTTCCTCCTACCTAGTATACCAGCTGAAAACTGCTAGGGGTTATGATTGGCTTTTCTCTTTCATTACCTCCTTTCCAACTAACTAGTTGTAGTTTCTGTTCTCCATGTGTTTAGGAAGAGAGGGAATAAGGTATAAGGTATACAGGAAAAGTCTTACTTGACTGTCACTGGCTTCCTTCTCCATAACTACAGATAACACCAAATTTTCTAAGTATTCTCCTTAAAGTGTCTCTCACTAGGCTTGAGATCAGGGCAAGCATATCCTTCTCTCCCTTAAGGGTTTGTATATGGCTCAAGGCACCCACTAGCTCTCTGCAGAGCAATACTCTTTCTAAATCTTCTTTCCTGACCCTTTTTATACTGTCCATATCAATGAAAGGTTTTAGTGCTCTTTCTTGGCTGCCTCCTTTTTTTTTTTTTTTAAGTGCTAATGGTCATCTGCCTCACCCATTACTTTGGCATGTGATACTGGGAACTTAGGGTCTCCATTGATGCCTCCTTATACAACTTGTTACAGTTACATCCTTGAAAATTCTGTTAAAATAAAGATAGGGTGTGACAAAAGGCTTAGTGCAGTTTTAAGATTTAATAACCTCAGAACTAGGAGGGAGGGAAGATGGTGGAAGAGTAGGGCACCCGCATTTCATCTGGTACCTTGAATTAGCTAGATAGCTATCAAATCATTCTGAGCACCTGTGAATTCAACCTGAGATGTAAGAAAAGGATTGCTGCAATTCTACAAATAGAAAAGTGACCATTTTTTGCAAGGTAGGAGGTGTGGAGATGTGAATCTGAGGGGATATATTGGAAGATAAATCATGGGGGGAGAGAGCCTGTCAGCAGGCTACCAGAAAGTGATATAGCAGTGGAGCACAAAATCGGAACTTTTAGAAGTCTGCCCCTGTGAGGAATGACCCTGCCTGAAATGTGTTCAGGTGGTGAAGTGGGGTGGAATCCTAGGTGGGACAGTGTGGTCTCAGGATCCCCAGGGTCTCATAAGGAAAGGGGGGGCCTAAATGTGGCAGAGTTTCCAAGCATTGGAGCAGGGAAGCCGGCTACAATTAGTGAGCCCCCGAGTGGCCTCTCAGCTAGATGTTGCCATAAACTGCAAACCACAGCACTGTTGGGGACTGCTGTCAGAGTAGGGGCCCAGCAAGTGACAACCACTGTGAAATCCAGCTCTTTCCCCCCTGGAGGAGCAGTGGGAGTGCATGCACAATTGGGCAAATGCTCCCTGAGAAGGGGCCCAGCAAGCAGCAGGGTGGTGGTGAGACACCCCTGCCTCCCCTGGGAGGATTGGTGTGGGTGTGCACCACAGGAGTCTGGGGAGTTTGGCCCACATGAAAGGGATTGACTGCCTTTCCCCAAGGGTGCACTGAGGAGTGGGGGCCAGGACCTTTCAGCTCCAGGACTGGAGATTGGGGCACCACCATTTTTTACTTTTTTTTTCATCCTCTAAAGTAGTACAAAAAGCCTTCAGGGAACAAAAGCCACATAGTACAACCCAAAGCAGCATACACTGAGCCCAGGCCCCTGGCAAGAGGCAGTGCAACTCTGCCCAGGCAAAGACACCTGAGAATCAGTGCAACAGGCCCCTCCCCCAGAAGACCAGCAGGATCCTCAGGCAAATACCAAGTTTAAAATTCCTGTGCTAGGGGAAAATAGTATAAAGAACTGGAGATTTTTTCACATGAGTCTTTAGTCTTTCGGTTTAAATTTTTCTTTTTCTTTTCCTTTTCAACTAGTTTCTTATTTTATCAACTCTTTGTTTTTAAGTCTTTTTTTAATTTTCATTTTTACATTTACATTTTATAGATATATTCTTCATTTTTGGCTTCTGTTCATTGTATTCAATTTTATTTTTGTGTGTATATATATATATATATAAATTTTGCTTTCTTTAAAATTTTGGGATTTAGTGTCTTCTAACAGACCAAAATACACCCAGGACCAAGTGGATTACCCGGTTTTGTCCATCTGTGAGATTATATTCTCTCTTTTCTCCCTTTTTTTTTCCTTTTTTTTTTGGTTTCTGATCTCTTGGATTTGTCTAGTGTGTACTTCTCTTGGGTCGTGGTTGATATTTTTGATTTTGTTCTCTCGTTCATCTATTTCTGCTCTGGGCAAAATGACTAGAAGGAGGAATTCATAACAAAACAAAGAACCAGAGGTAATACTCTCTGCCACAAATCTAATCGATATGGATATAAGTAAACTGTCAGAGCCGGAATTCAGGATAATGATTATAAAGTTACTACCTGGGCTTGAAAAAAGCATAAAAGACACCAGAGAATCTCTTAGTGCAGATATGAAATCTAATCAGGCTGAAATTTAAAATGGCTTAACTGATATGCAGTCTAAAATGGATGTTCTAACAGCTAGGGTAAATGAAGCAGAAGAGTCAGTGACATAGAAGACAAGTTGATGGAAAGGAAGGAAGCTGAGGAAAAGAGAGAAGAACAACTAATAGACCATGAGGGGAGGCTTCGAGAAATCAGCAATACCATAAAGCAAAATAATTATTGGGGTCCCAGAGGAAGAAGAAAGAGAGAGAGAAGGTATATTTGAGCAAATCATAGCTGAGAACTTCCCTAATTTGGGGAAGGAAACAGGTATTCAAGTCCAGGAGGTAGAGAGAACCCCCTCAAAATGAATAAAAATAGTTTAAGACCCCGACATAAAATAGTGAAGCTTGCACATTTCGGAGATAAAGAGAAAATCCTGAAAGCAGCTCAAGACAAGAACTCTTTAACCTATAGGGGTAGGAACTGGCAGCAGACCTATCTACAGAGACCTGGCAGGCCAGAAAGGGCTGGCATGATATATTCAGGGTACTAAATGAGAAAAACATACAGACAAGAATACTTTATCCAGCATCTATCATTCAGAATGGAAGGAGAGATAAAGAGCTTCCAGGACAAACAGAAACTAAAAGAATCTGTGATCACTAAAACCAGCCCTGTGAGAAATATTAAGGGAGGTCCTGTAAGTGAAGAGAGAGTCCGAGAGTAACAGTAACCAGAAAGAAACAGAGATAATCTATAGAAACAGGGACTTTACAGGTAATACAATAGCACTAAATTCATATCCTTCAATAGTTACTCTGAACGTAAATGGGCTAAATGCTCCAAACAAAAGACACAGTATCAGTTTGGATAAGCAAGACCTACCTATATGCTGTCCACAAGAGACTCATTTTAGACTTAAAGACACCTCCAGATTGAAAGTGAGGGGGTGGAAAAACCATTTATCATGCTAAAGGGCATCAAAAGAAAGTTGGGGTGGCAATCCTTATATCAGACAAATTAGATTTTAAACCAAAGACTGTAATAAGAGATGACACAATGACACTGTGGTATAGTGTCATAATTAAAGGGTCTATCCTACAAGAATCTAACAATTATAAATATTTATGCTCTTTAACTTGGGAGCAGCCAATTATATAAACCAATTAATAATAAAATTAAAGAAAAACAAATAATAATACAATAATACAAGGGGACTTCACCCCACTCACAGCAACAAGGGCTTTGAATGACACCCTGGAAGAACAACAAGGAAACAAGGCTTTGAATGACACCCTGGGCCAGATGGACTTCACAGATATATACAGAGCATTCCATCCTAAAACAACAGAATTCACATTCTTCTTGAGTGGACATGGAACATTCTCCAGAATAGATCACATCCTAGGTCACAAATCAGGTCTTAGCTGATACCAAAACATTGGGATTATTCCCTGCATATTTTCAGATCACAAATGCACTGAAACTTGAACTCAATCACAAGAGAAAATTTAGAAGGAACTCAAACATTTGGAGAATAAAGAGCATCCTACTAATGAATGAATGGGTCATGAGGAAATTAAAGAAGAATTACAAAAATTCAAGGAAAGAAATGAAAATGAAAACACAACTGTTCAAAACCTTTGGGATACAGCAAAGGCGGTCCTAAGAGGGAAGTACATAGCAATACAAGCCTTTCTCAAAGAATTGGAAAACACTTAAATGCACAAGCTAAACTTACACCTAAAGGAGCTGGAGAAAGAACAGCAAATAGAGCCTAAACCAAGCAGATGGAGAGAAATAATAAAGATTAGAACTTTGAAATCAATGAAATAGAAACCAAAAGAACAGA